AAAGAACATAGTCTTTCTCTGTGAACAAGACCATGCACAGCACCTATCACATGTGCACTCAGGACAAGGTCGAATTTTCGGCCTTTGCATTCAGAGCCTGGGGTCTTGCTGTGCAGATCAGACAAGCGGGGCAGGACAGCGGAATTTGAGTAGCAGGCTGACATGGTAAGCCGTAGACTTGTGGCTGCTTAAAACTTTAATAATAGCACTGCCCTCCTTTCATGTTCAAAGCAATGCTCCTAGCGTTGGCCAGTTCCTGCTGCCAGCAATCCGGCAAGCAAGAACTCTGCCCCTGTCCCACCCCCTCGCGGCTGTCCCCGGGAAAGATCCCTGTATGCTGCCCCTCTCCCGCCTCCATCGCATGGCTGTAAACCGCCGTTTACAGTTCTGTAAAGGAACAGGCAAGCAGTCCCAATACTAACATTCCCCTAATTCAAAGCAGGTCACCATGAGCGACATCACTCTGATGAGGATTTCAGAGACCGACAGAGAACGCATGCTTCGTGAAAGCCTGCAAAGAGCAGGGCCGTATGCCGCCATGCTCTGCAAGGCAATGATCCCGGAGTACTTGCTGATAGCCTGGCACGGAAACGTTTCCTACTATGGAGGACACAACAAGGCCGCTCTCCCAAGGAACCTCATGCAAAGGCTTTCCAATTACCTCCAGGAGAGCTTCATGGAGATGTCCCATGAGGATTTCAGCTCTATCCCCGGACATATAGACCGAATTTTACTGTAGCTGCACTGGCAAGGACTAAACAGTTGAGCGCCTAGGGCAAACCAATCATGATAAACCGGACGTTGTTAGATTGTTTTGCAGTAGTTGCACTGCCAAGGACTAAAACGTTAAGCGCCTAGGGCAAAGTAATCATGAAAAACCAAATGTTAATATTAATGTTCTGTTCAAAATAAATGTTTACATGTTTAAAACACTTACCGACTGATCCTTCCCCTGATTCTGGGTCCAGGTTAACGCCTGGGGACGGTTGGTAGGGGATCTCTGTGAGGGTGATGAAGAGATCCTGGCTGTCTGGGAAATCAGCGTTGTAAGCGCTGTCGACTGCCTCATCCTCCTCATCTCCTTCCTCATCTTCCCCGTCTGCTAACATCTCCGAGGAAGCGGCCGTCGACAATATCCCATCCTCAGAGTCCACGGTCAGTGGTGGAGTAGTGGTGGCGGCCGCACCTAGGATAGAATGCAGTGCCTCGTAGAAACGGCATGTCTGGGGCTGGGATCCGGAGCGTCCATTTGCCTCTTTGGTCTTCTGGTACCCTTGTCTCAGCTCCTTGATTTTCATGCGGTACTGCGTTGCATCCCGGCTGTATCCTCTCTCTGTCATGGCTTTTGAGATCTTCTCGTAGATCTTTGTATTCCGTCTTTTCGATCGCAGCTCCGAAAGCAGGGACTCATCGCCCCACACAGAGATCAGATCCAAGACTTCCCGATCAGTCCATGCTGGGGCCCTCTTTCTATTCTGGGATTGCATGGCCATCTCTGCTGGAGAGCTCTGCATCATTGCCAGTGCTGCTGAGCTCGCCACGATGTCCAAACAGGAAATGAGATTCAAACTGCCCAGACAGGAAAAGGAATTCAAACTTTCCCGGGGCTTTTCCTGTGTGGCTCGGACTGCTGTCCAGAGCATCAACAGAGTGGTGCACTGTGGGATAGCTCCCAGAGCTATTAGCATCGATTTCCATCCACACCTACCCTAATTCGACATGGCCATGTCGAATTTAGCGCTACTCCCCTCGTTGGGGAGGAGTACAGAAGTCGAATTTAAGAGACCTCTATGTCGAGCTAAATAGCTTTGTTATGTGGACGGGTGCAGAGTTAATTCGATTTAACGGTGCTAAATTCGACATAACCTCCTAATGTAGACCAGGCCTCTGGGTCCTAGTGGCACTCCCCCACAGTCTAGCACCTGAGGCAGCCGCCTGAGTTCGCCTCATGGTAAGGCCAGCCCTGGTCCCTCATGTGACTCTGCTATGCTGCTTAATGATGGGCACTCTCACTTGATATGCCTTGGGGAAGGATGCATTCTGAAATGTTGTTCCATGTGTCATGTCTTTGCAAAGCACACCAGCAAGTAAGGGACGTGAGGCTGTAGCTTTTTCCTGATGGAGAAGTCAATGCAGGCCTCTCAGACTCTGGGATACCTTTGGAGACGTTTCAGTCCACAGGTAAGTTTGTTTCCCTCAGCCCCCCTGTGAGCCATAACTCCACTCAGAGCTTGCAGGCCATTTCCTGTCAAAGACCCCACTTGTCTACCACTGCATTATGATCAAGATCTGATAAAGGCAGGAAGGAGCACCTCTCTAGACATTAACCCAGATGCCAGTTGCCTTCTCTGGCAACCTAGCTCTCCCTGGGCTCTGTCATCAATCAGAGAAGACCCTTGCTGGTACCTCAATACCGAAATGAAAATCAGCATTGATGGTTTCTTCTAAATCCAAGGACCACACCACCTCTGGTATTGGCCCTTTGGCACCAGGTATCTCAATGCCCAGTGCCTCCACACTGACCATATCATCTGGTGGCCATCACTCTAGTACTAATCACTACCTTGGTACCCAAGATGTCGGTACCAACCTTTTCAGCAATGAAGCAATTGCCAACTGATCTGTCAATGGGCCTGGAACCAGAGTCAACATTACTAGAAAGGCTCAGGGAGGTCATTACAAAATTCTTATTGTAGAGCCTCCACACCTGGCCAGAGAAATGTTCCCTATGCCAAACATCCCTGGCAGGGTACTGTTGACAGGTCTTGTCCCTCTTTTGGAGGAGGTATATTTCTTCTCTTCTTGCTCCCCTGAACACAGCAGGGAATCATCCCTTCTTCTGCTCCCTCTCTCCAGCTGCGCCCCTCGCCCCACACTAGCTCAATGGGATTCAGGAAGGAATCCAGAGATCACTCAGGAGAGCTAGGAAAACCTCAGGTCATTATAGGGAGCTCTCCTTCTTATATCCCCCATATGCTCTCTACTGCCTGACCATGCTGGACCCCTTGAAGTGTTCAGCCCTGCCAGAAAGCCCGTGTCTCAACAGTTTCCAGAGCCAAGTCACCTTCTCTGAAGAGGCAAATTCAGCCTCCTCAGATGACTCAGCTCCATCCATATGTGCTGAAAGGCCAAGAGAAAGAAAGAGGATAAGAAAAGCATTCTCCTGAGCAGGAGCAGCAATGCCAGCTCCAATATTCTCTTCTTCCCCAATGAAGTGGTCAACCTACCTTCACTGGCCTTGGCATGAATTCAAAGTCTTCCAGGATTTGATTAAATGGATAACTGACAGTCTGGATATCGCCCTTGAGATAATACAGGAAAAGCAACATAAACGCCTGGACATTCTCCACTCTACAGCTCCAGGGAGATTGGCCATGCCAATCAGGGATGGACTGCTGAAAACCAACAAATCAATCTGGCACACACCAGCTTCTGTCTCTGATACCTGCAGGAAAGCGGACAGAAGACAGCAGGTCTCCGCAAAGGGAGATGCATATTTTTACCAGCATCCTACTCCTCACATTGATATTCAATAAGAAAACATCAGAGTGCTACCAAGAAAGTGCAAAGGCAGCTCTAATAACAACAAAATCTAAAAGGGAAGAACGGATTAGCGAAGCTATTTGGGCATCAATGGAAAAGAGAAGTGTAAAGCAGTGATACTCAGACCTCTGTGGTTCAGAAACCAAATTATCAATCAACATTACTCAAAAGAGCCACAGTAGTGTGAATTCATTCTTTCATTTACTATATATATATATTATTCTCACCGCAAAATGAATGACCAAGTATTCTACAATTGGTTAGTAACATAGTAAAAGCATCCTGACTGATTAATAACTTAGATTGGTTAATAATTCAATCACAGTGTTTTAATATCATGTGTTGCAAAGAGCCGCAGGAGACACATTAAAGAGACACTAGCGGCTCCCAAGTCTGTCTGAGTTTCACTGGAGTAAAGAAAAAAACTCATGAATGCTAATACATATGCGTAGACAAGCAATACAGAGCTTTAGACAAAGGGGTAAAAAGGCGTGGTGGAAAAGACAAAAGGGCATATATTGATAGAAAATGTAAAGAGCCTAAAGCTGCTAGGCAGAGAGCTGACCTGACAGTCTTGTATAAGACAATCAAACTACTAGAACAGGAAACTTTAGCAGTATTGGAGGCCCTATTAAAATACAAATGGAAGCCCCTAAAGTAGACTTGGCAGAATTCATTTTTTATTTTTAAAAATAATTTCAACAGATAATATTGCTGTTTATTTTTAAGCATTTTACAGATTTTTTTTTATCAATTTAAATTTTTATAGTTGTGGGACATTATGGGTGGGGCACTATTCAATGACAGTCTACATTGAAATTCAAAAGTTATAGCTTTTATAAGCTGTTAAAACACAAATTATCTGAACACTGTAGACAGTGGCATTGGAACAACTTGTGCAGCTTTAGGGGGTGCTGAGAGCCATTGACTCAAACTGTAAAGCCGTAAATGGAGACCACTTTAAGCACCCCTAACTGTAGATGATTTCACTTTCCTTAATGCCTCCGGTTCTCTGTCCCAAGAGAGGGAGTCAGTTTCAGCATAACAATTTATAAATATTATTTCTTTTTAAGCATGCTGGAACAATTTGTGTGTGTGTGTGTGTGGGGGGGACATTGAACCAAAGTGTAAACGCTGTATATGATGGCAACCACTCCAAACCAGGGGGTAGGGCAGCAGCACTGATGTTTCTTTTGCTGGGTGTGTAGCTAACTGGGCCAGATTAAGGTGCGATGAAGGGACGGCTCCATTGAGCGCTGCTGTTAACCAGGGGCAGCGCTGACAGCGACCAGGTGGGCTGCGGCCCCAGGGCGGGATAACGGCGTCGGCCCTGAGCTGTCTCGGGACCACTGGTTCTTTCTTTAAAGGGAAGGGGGCGGGACTGACGGGGCCGCTGCAGCCAATGGGGGAAAGCGGCGGAGGGGCTCGGGTCTCTCTGTGTTTCGGGAGGGGGGCGCGAGGCTGAACCTCGGCGCGAGCGGGCGGCGCCATGGAGCTAACGGCCCCTCCGCGGCCCTGGGCCTTCCTCTGGCTGGCGGCCGCGGCGCTGCTGCTGCCGGGGGCGGCGGGTGAGTAACGGGGCGGGGAGGCGGCTCCGCGGGTCCCCGCCGGCTCCTTTCAACAACATGGCGCAGGGGCCGGTCGGACGGGGCTGGTTCCCAGCGGGGTGACTCCCCGACCCCCCGCTCCGATGCCGCCGAGCCAGGAGTGGGGGCGGCTCTGAGCCTCCCGCCGGCCCCGAGTGCGAAGGCGGGCGGTGGCGGCCCGGCTCCGCGGCATCCCGAGCCCGGCGGGCCCAGCCTTGCTCCCTGCGGGCCCCAGAGCGGGGAGCGGCCAGTCGGGCCGGGCCCGGCCCCTGAGCTCACAGCCCCCGGAGTGAGCAAAACAAGTCTCCGGCGCTCTTCGCTTGAGCTGGGTCCGTGTCCTCCCTGCGCAGCCACGGGCCAGCTCGCCGGAGCACTGGGGCTGCGCTGGTGCGGCAGGAGACAGTGGGGCTGGGAGACGGTGGTAATAGGAGCGCTTTGTTGTTGGTGGTGATCCAAGAGAATGGGGGAAAAACCCAGCTTGACACTCAGATCCCAGCGTGAATTTGTTTGGGTCTTTCAGGGTATGTCTACACGGCAATAAAAGACACCGTGGTGGTGTGCAGAGCCCAGGTCAACTCAGGCTCTTGGGTGCTAGAACTAGCAGTGGGCTGGACCCCAGGCTCTGAGACCCTACCGCTTTCCCAGGTACCAGAACCTGAACATCTACACTGTTATTGTTTAGCCCTGCAAGCCCGAGTCAGTTGAGCCAGGCTCAGAGATTTGCTCTGTTCATGCATCCTTTTTTTTTTTTGGTTCATGTTTTCCTCTAGAGTTTTCTTGCACTGTGCTAAGCCAGGTCTCAGCAGAACTTTGAGACTGAAGGGAGAGTAATGATCTAAGGACCTACCCTCCGGGCCTTAGTATTGAGCCACTATTATACTTTGACATTTTGCAAATGCAAAATATACAAATGGGTGACAAGATGTTTCATTTTATTGCCTTCATTTATACACATTTTTAATAATTGCTAGGGAAAAATCTTTTATTCCCTTTTCTACATTTCAGAAGACTATTTTTATTTCTACCTACAATTATGAAGTCACATAACTTGGCAACTTGAAATAACTTGTCAATCAGCTTCTTTCAAGACCTATTTCTCTTAATGAGACAGTAAGGCTACAGATGCTAAAGCAGCACAGCTGCAGTGCTGTAGTGTAGAAGCTTCCTTCATCCACAGAAGGGTTTTTTTCTGTTGATGTCGTTAATCCACCTCTCCGAGAGGTGGTAGCTGGGTTGATGGAAGAACTCTTCTGTCAACCTAGCTGCATCTATACTAGTGGTTAGGTTGACCTAACTATGGTGCTCAGGGAGTGAAATTTATCATAATCCTGAGTGATGTAGCTAGGTTGATTTAAGGCTTAGGTCTAGACTAGACTTGATAGTTCTCTGAACTATTCCAATCCTGTCATCTTCTTGAGACCTTGCTAATCACTTGTCTGGTGCTCAAGGTCTTTGCTAGCTCATTAAGCCAGGGTTTGAAAAATTTACCAGACAACTTTTAGTCAAAGCACTACATCCAGTAGTATAGTGGCCAATACTACTTGTTGGGAGGCGGGAGGTGTGCAAGTGATCTTCATGGGCAGGAAATGCTCTGGCTAGAAGTCCAGGTCCTCAGCTATCCCTAGCTTCTGGCAATGGGGAGGGTGCAATAAGTTTTGCAAGAGTACTGACTCTCAATGAATCTAGGTAGGGGTCAGATTTTGGGGAAAGAAGGAAGTGATGTATTTTTTACAAGCTTCACCCAGTAAGCTCTGTCCTTTAAGACACCACTCACAGTAGATTTACAATGTTCAAAATATGGTCATGCATGTTCTCTAGGCATGACTTATTTTCAGTAGAGTCTGAATAAATTAATGGGCTGTGTTGGGCTTTTCAGGCTTGACTTGACCTTGGTGAAGCTCATATGTCCTGCTTGGCTTTCCCTGGGGGAGGGGTGTTAAAATCCCCACTGGGCTTTGCTAGGCTCTTTGGGTTTGGCTCCTTCATGACTGGAGGCAGAAAAAAACGGTGGTGTTTCAGTCCCTGGACAAACTGCGCCTCTGACTTCTCTTGGTCTCTCTGAGGCCAGCCTCTTATATCTCAGGCCTCTGGCCATCATCTCTCTCTTAGGATGGAATCATGTGAGTCTTCTGCTCTCAGACTGGGTGTTGAGTTTTAGTCCCCTGAGTATCAACCTCGATCATCTCTGCAGGTCTGAGTTAAGCTCAGACTTGGACATTTTGTTACCCTCTGGGGCAATGACGGTGGTAATCAGTGGCCAAACAGTTTCCTTAAAGCAAAATTTTATTTATTTAGAACAAATGTTTTCTCTGCAGTGTGTATCTTAAAAACTATAAGGCAGCCTAGTTTATCAGCCATTTAACCATTTTCCACACAGGGAAAATGTGGTTGGTCTAATTTCCTGAAGACTATTCTGAGACCTCTAGGGTCTGGAGGGCATACTCAGTTCCCTAAACTCCCAAACCATTTCTCATCCAGACTCTGGGAGAGACTCCTTGTAAAATTGTGTAAAGTCCTTCTGATCACACTCCTTCTCAATGGCAAAGTCACTTTTTAGCCCAGTGACCTGTTAGTTTCCAGCATTGGCAGAACAAGGCTTACATTTTGTTAGTTTAAAAGTTTGTCACCAACAGCTTGTGTCCATTGTCTTTCCACTGTGTACCTAGATGTTCTTATCTGGGAAGCCATTATGTTGCTTCTCTGTTCTTCCCCCACAGCCCCAGTGTAAATTAGATCAGTGCATTCACACAGGAAAGTTTTATAATCCAATGTAGAATAATTTCCCTCACTCACCTGTCACATACAATGTTCATAAAATTATTATAGATTATGTATCAGCTCCACTTCTGTCATGGTATATACCAAGTGAACCCATGGGTAGTGCCAAAATGAGCTGGCACATTAGATGTTTCAGATCTTGGAAATATGATCTTCCCACTCTTTTCTTATATACTTTGAACCACGAAAGAGTTAGCATTTGTTAGCATTTAAAGTATTATCATTGGCCTCTGAATTAGCACCCATGTAACTGAACGGTGCACATAATACCGTAGAGCTTTAGTTTTAAGTTCTGCAAACAGACAGGTGGCACTGCATCCATTACACTTGGGTCATATTTTGAGGCTGTATTGGAATGATAACATCTAGAGACTTAGCTTTCACTTAAAAAAAAAAATTCCTTCTGTAGAACAAGAAGGCAGCATGAAGGAGGTGCTGGTACCAGCTGAATATGAGACCTTCTTTAGTGGGCTAAATCTTTTGTATTTCCCCCAGATCTTTTGCGGGGCATCATCCCTATCTTTGTTGTTACTTGGGAAAGCAGCAATGTGGATTTTAGGTTATTTTGATAAGTTTTGCATTGCCTGTAGAGTTCTAAATATACGAGTAAAACTGACCGGAGTCTTGCTAATTTCAAGCTGCTGGGAGAAAATCATGAACAACAGAGGAGTGGGAACCTGGTTTGTAGACTCAAGAAGACCACATTCTTGAGGGGAGGGATAGCTCAGTGGTTTGAGCATTGGCCTGCTAAACCCAGGGTTGTGAGTTCAATCCTTGAGGGGGCCATTTAGGGATCTGGGGCAAAAATCTATCTGGGGATTGGTCCTGCTTTGAGCAGGGGGTTGGACTAGATGACCTTCCCGAGGTCCCTTCCAACCCTGGGATTCTATGAATTGATTTTTATTTGGCTTATATTGGAGCTATCTTTGAAGTCTTACGGACAAATTTTTTTTTTAAAGAGATACATTTTTGTAGAAATTGATTCCCTGAGCTTCCTGTTGGAGTGGAATTTTCCTTCTGTTAAGGAAAAATGCAGAGTTTGGTTCCAAATCTAATTTGGGTGAACGTTTAATTTGATAACATCATGTGCTACCAAAAGACAATTTTTTTTTTTGGCCCACCATTGATTTTTGGTAGTCCATGTATGTTAAGAGAGTAATTTGATTTTCATGTGAGCCACCAATTTTTTATTTATACTGATGTCAAAATATGTATTCTGCAGACATTAGATCCTTAGTGTTTGATTTATGTTATGTCATTTTTGTCTTCTGCGGTCCTAGGAATGCCATTGTGTGTTAAACTTGAACTGACATCATTAAATTAATACTTTGAAATTATTTCAAAGTATTTTATTTATCTGGAATGTTATTTAAAGAGACAGTAAAAATAATAGCAGTTCAAAGAACTGATCAATCTAGAGGTTACTGCTTGTCTGGAAAGCTACAGTGTAAATAAATGAATGTCCAGCTGAGGGCATTTAGCTTCAGAATAAAACAGGGTGTCCAAACAAATGGAATTTGTTCTGAGTGGGAGTTAAGCTGCTAACTGGTGAACTGAGGGATGGGACAGAGACTTCATTTTTTAATGTTAACCTAGCAGTAATCAGAAGAATGCTAATAGGTGAGTTAAGGTGGTAACAAATCCAACAAGAGGCCAGTTATCTTGAAATGAAAATAAAAAAATGATATAAAAAATGTCTTCTGGAAGATCCCAGGAATTCCATGTGGAATGTGTACAGTGTCCTATTTACACATTATCATGAGAGCTACATGTATATGAAGTGTCAACATTTTTCCATTAGGGAGGAAAATATGCAAGAGCTTCAGTTGCAATTAGGAAAAGTAGAATTGCCATACTGGTTTATATCAGTGATTCAGAAATTGCACCGTTAACACTAGCCATACCAGCTGCTAGAGAGGAAGGTGAAAGTAACCCTGCATTAGGCAATTCTGCCAAAGAGAGTGCCTTATACTGAGACTAGCAATATCCAGTCCACCATCAAGAAAACAAGCACTTGAATGGGAATCATCAGGAAGACAGAGTGGCATATAGTTGTAATGTATGCCATAGATTCAGTTTTTTAGAATTGGCTACTTCTAGACCAACAGATCTTGGAAACTACTGCCCAATATGATGATTTCCATTAATTACTCAAGAATCAAGCAAAGAACCATTTGCAAACACAGTTACTCCCTGCCAGTTTC